ATGTCTAAAACACCAAAAGCAATGGCAACAAAAGCCAAAATGGACAAATGGGATCTAATTAAACTAAAGAGCTTCTGCACAGCAAAAGAAACTACCATCAGAGTGAACAGGCAACCTATAGAATGGGAGACAATTTTTGCAATCTACTCATCTGACAAAGGGCTAATATCTAGAACCTACAAAGAACTTAAACAAATTTACAAGAAAAAAACAAACAACCCCATCAAAAAGTGGGCAAAGGATATGAACAGACATTTCTCAAAAGAAGACATTCATACAGCCAACAGACACATGAAAAAATGCTCATCATCACTGGCCATCAGAGAAATGCAAATCAAAACCACAATGAGATACCATCTCACACCAGTTAGAATGGCAATCATTAAAAAGTCAGGAAACATCAGGTGCTGGAGAGGATGCAGAGAAATAGGAACACTGTTACACTGTTGGTGGGACTGTAAACTAGTTCAACCATTGTGGAAAACAGTATGGCGATTCCTCAAGGATCTAGAACTAGAAATACCATTTGACCCAGCCATCCCATTACTGAGTGTATACCCAAAGGATTCTAAATCATGCTGCTATAAAGACACATGCACACGTATGTTTATTGCGGCACTATTCACAATAGCAAAGACTTGGAATCAACCCAAATGTCCATCAGTGACAGACTGGCTTAGAAAAATGTGGCACATATACACCATGGAATACTATGCAGCCATAAAAAAGGATGAGTTTGTGTCCTTTGTAGGGACATGAGTGCAGCTGGAAACCATCATTCTTAGCAAACTTTCACAAGAACAGAAAACCAAACACCGTATGTTCTCACTCATAGGTGGGAACTGAACAATGAGATCATTTGGACATGAGAAGAGGAACATCACACACTGGGGCCTATTATGGGGAGGGGGGAGGGGGGAGGGATGGCATTGGGAGTTATAACTGATGTTAATGACGAGTTGATGGGTGCTGACGAGTTGATGGGTGCAGCACACCAACATGGCACAAGTATACATTTGTAACAAACCTGCACGTTGTGCACATGTACCCTAGAACTTAAAATATAATATTAAAAAATGTGAAAATAATAAGAATAAAATTTTTTAAAAAAAAGATAACCTGAGGTTATTGTTCAGGCCAGCCCTCCAGATAAAAGGAGCAGGCAGGAATTCAAGGAGGAACCCAAGTCTGCAACAAAGACAAAAAATTTGATAGAGCATTAATTACATCAGATTATGTTGAGAGGAAGGAGGCAGGAGGGCACGTGTTCAGGAAGAGAAAAACAAAGAGCCCTATGTCAGGAAAACACTTCAAAGTTGACATCCATATTCCTTTGAACAGTTGTATGAAATGTTTAGTAATTCCTTTAAAAACCCAGGCCATAAACAAATATTTTCATTTGGTATATCAAGGAATGCACTAAATATCATTTGCAGGTGTTATCACTTGACCAAAGAGAAATTCGCATTACATAACCCACAGTTTTACTTAAAAAGTCATATTACAACACTTGAAAATCATGGAATTACTATTTGCAACATAGGGAAGGAGCACTAGGAAAAACAAACAGTGAACTCTGAAAATAATTTATTTGCTCATTTTATGATCTGAGCACCACAAAAGCATTGTTGCTATTAACTACCATAATCAAAGAAAAGAAAGGTTAGGATAGGTAATCTGGCCTAAAAATCACATGGAAAAAAAAAAAAAGTGCTATGATACAGCTAGTACTAAATTATTTACTACTAATTTTAATGTTGTTTCCACTCTCAAAGACTCAGTCACAAATTGAGCAATGAGCTTTTCATATGATACAAAGTTACATTTATAATGGAAGAAGTTGAAAATATACCACTCTGGCATACTGACTATTTTGAATAAAAGGCATTTAATTCAAGTATTGGAAAACAACAGGTGTAAAAAGAGAACTCTGATCTTCCAGTCTCCTTAAAAGAAGAAGATGAAATTCCCCCTGAAAGAAATTAACATCCTATCCTCAAGGACAGGAAGTTGAGGTCAAAGAATTCTGTACAGACTTTGTTAAAATAACGTATCTTTTAAGCCTCCCCACATAATTTAGTTGGTTTTTCACAACTTACTGCTGTTTTTGTAATTCATTATTTAAGCGTTTCACTCTAACTGCTTATTTGGGTCTTTATCTCTTTTTTTTTTTAAATTTTATTTATTATTATTATTATACTTTAAGTTCTAGGGTGCATGTGCATAACGTGCAGGTTTGTTACATATGTATACTTGTGCCATGTTGCTGTGCTGCACCCATCAACTCGTCAGCACCCATCAACTCGTCATTTACATCAGGTATAACTCACCATGCAATCCCTCCCCCCTCCCCCCTCCCCATGATAGGCCCCGGTGTGTGATGTTCCCCTTCCCGAGTCCAAGTGATCTCATTGTTCAGTTCCCACCTACGAGTGAGAACATGCGGTGTTTGGTTTTCTGTTCTTGTGATAGTTTGTTAAGAATGATGGTTTCCAGCTGCATCCATGTCCCTACAAAGGACACAAACTCATCCTTTTTTATGGCTGCATAGTATTCCATGGTGTATATGTGCCACATTTTCTTAAGCCAGTCTGTCACTGATGGACATTTGGGTTGATTCCAAGTCTTTGCTATTGTGAATAGTGCCGCAATAAACATACGTGTGCATGTGTCTTTATAGTAGCATGATTTATAATCCTTTGGGTATATACCCAGTAATGGGATGGCTGGGTCATATGGTACTTCTACTTCTAGATCCTTGAGGAATCGCCATACTGTTTTCCATAATGGTTGAACTAGTTTACAATCCCACCAACAGTGTAAAAGGGTTCCTATTTCTCCACATCCTCTCCAGCACCTGTTGTTTCCTGACTTTTTAATGATTGCCATTCTAACTGGTGTGAGATGGTATCTCATTGTGGTTTTGATTTGCATTTCTCTGATGGCCAGTGATGATGAGCATTTTTTCATGTGTCTGTTGGTTGTATGAATGAATGTCTTCGGGTCTTTATCTCTTTATGAGCATTCTCGTGCCACGTAAAACTCGTATTACTTGTATGAAATAAATTTGTATGCTTTTCTCTCGTTAATCTGTTTTATATCCATTTAATTCTCAGGCCCATCGGGGACCCTAAGAAGAAACAGGTGGAATTTTGCTGCCCCTATACAACTAAATGAGTATCAAGATTCTCTGTAAAATTCATGAAAATTAGCACAGTCTGTTTGAAACTTAAATCAAATGCTTCTTATGTGAGATGATCCTTTACAGCTACCAAAGGGATTCAGTCCTGGCAAAGATGCAGCTTTAATGTGTGTACACATAGTAAACCTTCTGGCATGTCAAAAGCATCTGCCATCTGAAGACTTGTCATTTTTCATTCACTTTCTTTTAATTATTCAAAATTAGCAAACTATTTTAAAGCTAAAGTGTCAAACAAAATGAGTGTCCTTTACAATCCCAATAAATAATCCAATTCTTATAAAGGCAATCAACATTTTCAACAATATTTACTCAATAAGGGGTTAAGGAAGTGGGATCCGGAGTCAGACATACTGGTAGGAAATCCTAGTTCACTACCCATGTGATCTTGGAGAAATTAACCCAAGCCTCCGTTACCTTATAAGTAAAATGGGGTGAACATTACCTACTCCATGTTCACAGAGACCCTATCAGGGCCACTGTGAATATTAGATAATCCCTGCAAAATTATGAACCAAACTAGTGTTTAATAGATGACACTAGTTGTTTAATAAATGTGTTTAATACATGACACTATATTGATTTCCTAGTAAATACCAGACTTTGCTACTGGTACTAGGGATGTAAAGATAAAGACTAATTAATTAGAGCCTCTGCCATCAAAAGGTTTATGCTTTAATAGGAGATACTTATATTAACAGAGTCTTGTAAATGGTCATGTTTTCTCTCACAAACACTAAATTGCCACCTTTTCTCTTGCAAATACTATTTGTACTGCAATTACCAAAGGTACCTAAGGCCAACAGAATCAGAGGCAGCCACAGATTCAAACGGAGTAGGGGAGACAGCAGGCATGGGGGGAAAAGAGGAATCCTGCTGAAACTCCAGCCTGGAGCCTGTGCAAGACGTGTGTAAAACATTTAGTGCCACTACAGTAACAGTCAAACTTGAACAAACTCGTGTCTCAGCAGAGAGACAAGTGTTAACTTTTAATCGGAAAAGCAATATCCTACTCCAACCCTAGAGAAAACCACAACTAGTTTAGGTATAACTTTGAGATTCACAAATCCTGAAAGCTAAAGCTGATGACCTCTTTTGCTACAAATTACCTCCTCCCAAACTGTTTAGGTAATCCTCCTGTTACTTCAGGATACCAATGACTTACCACCTGGGTAGAAGAACCACACTGGTAGAGCCCCTCTTTTGGGTCCCAGAGGTCTCGTCTCTAGTGAGCCTAGCTTCATACTGAGCTGTCTGTCACCATCTTTTTACATGTGACTTCTACACGAGACTGCAAGTCACCGTATTCCTCTTTGCATCCTTCCTACCGAGCACAGTGACTAAATACAAGTTCAATAGATGTGTGTTGAATTATTACTTGGTGCCAAGCATTGTGCCAGGCAGCAGAGATACAAACATTAAAAATATATTCTTTGTCAAAGAACAAATCATCTAATGGGGAGACAGAGTCAACATTTCAAATATGAGAACTGCACTAATGGAAAGACTACAATACTAGGTGTGGGGAATTGGTATGGAAAGGAATATCCAGATAGAATTAAGAGAAGGGATGTTCCCCCAATTAAACAGGGAAAAGCTAAAGAGTCCCAGGCATTATAAACTGGAAACAAACTCTGGGAAATAATGTACAATGGGAGGAGGAAAATTTTTAAAAGAAAATGTTGGTTGAATAGGTAAATGAATATAGTCAAATTTAGAAAGGAACACTGAAAATATAATTGTTAAAAATCACTAAATTCCCTCAAATTTAATACTTAAACCTTATTGTAAAGATTCTTACCTCCCAGAAATTCCTTTTGTTGACCCTGGAATCTCTGGTACAGGCCGATGTCTTAGCAGAAAAGATCGAGATGGTCTTGAAACCAACTTGCTACGACTTCTCATAGGTGCTAGGATTGGTGATGATGGAACATACAACTCATTTACAATCATTTCTCCTTGAAACTTAAAGAATGGGGATGGTGGTGATCCGTCTAATAAACCATTTGTTCCATTTCTAGAGTTCGTTTCTGATGTTGAACAGCCAACAGAAGAAAGGCATTCAGAGTCTGCGTTAGGGAGCTTATTGAGATTTTCTGAGATCAATTTAACTTTTTCTGTTTGTTGTTCTTCAATTGTGTGATCCATAGTCTTCTTTGTAATCAAAGATTCTATTTTAATATTTTCACTACCAAATAAAGAATCATTCAAAGAACCCAAATTCAGGTGTGGTTCTTCTGCAGTGGAGAAGTCGCGTTTAGGAGGAGACAGCTTATTATCTGATTGAGGATACTGGCTTCTTTCCACACTTGCATCTTCTTCAAGTTTTTTTGTAACAGTCTCCAACTGCGGTGGGCTAGGTGTCTGAACACTACTAGAACTGGAAAGTTCTATGCAGATATTGTGATCAGAAGATGGAACATTGTGATCCTTTGAAGGGTCATCATTCTTCTTTGTTTTATGAACATTTGCATATATTGGAAAATCTTGCATTTTTGATAAGATTATCTGTAACTGTTTAAGTATCCTCCTACGGTGACCTGTGGGTGATATTCCAATTTTCTGTAGCAGGCTGTCATTTATTGCTGCACAGTCCTTCACAGTAGTAAAACCAGACTCATGGAAATGTAAGAGATACTGCTCCAAATTAATGCTCATTAGGAAATCTTTTATATCCACATTTACTTCACTGACTGAGGACATAATGGTGGCTTCATTACTAAGTTGAGTTACAAAAAGTGGCACGATGAGACACACACACAAGAAGATGCACTTCTCTGCTGGCTTTTCCTCTATCAATTGTGACAGAAAAGTTTCTTAAAATGTTATTTTCTTCACAGTGACTGCTTTATGTGCTTAAGCCTAGAAGAAAAATAAAAATGATTTATTAGGCTATTTTAATTATTAAAATCTACTTTTATATACTTTCTCTGAAGAAACAACAGAAATTAGGACACTAACTTTCACTCTGCATTTGGAATCTTTGTGCATTGCTTTGCACGCCCTAGAAAAGCAGTTTCTCCATATGTGAGGGTACAGGACAGAAATGCTACGACAGCATCAAACTACGACTTTCAAAAAGGTGAAAAAAAATGACACTGACACACGTACCGAATAAACATATATCAAAAGCTGTATTCAACTTCTTAATTAAAAATGAGGGAACCAGTAAGTCAGTAAGATTGGATCCAAGAGCATTTGTGGAAAAGATTTACATAGTCCATCAGAAAAGTTTTTTTTTAAGTATTAGGATAGCTAGGTTAGATAAAAAACTGTTTAATGTCCTACAGGATAATAAGCCACAACATTTGGGGTTATCTTTTCTACTGGACAAAAATCTATAAGCATACAGGTAACTTCTCAGTGTCTATGTGCTACTCAAATAATAAATAGCCAAGTCAAGCACAGGAATTAAAATTGGGATTAAAATATCTCTAAAGTGGTCTTGTTAAACAATATTCCCACAAAGGCACTGAAAGAATGTTCTTTTGACTTTCAAGTTTTATGCAATTTTCTTAACAGTAACTGAATATAAACAACTTTCCCTTTCACTGCACTTTCTTTCAAATACTTAAAAAGCAGTCAGAACATATTTCTCAGTTCAATAATTTTCATTTCATAAAAGCAGGCAGCATTATATGTAAACAATAGTGATATACAAGATATGACACTGAATAATCAGCTAATTCTTAAATACATTAGATAACAGAAAATATGCTAATATAAAAGGACAAGGTAAAGGTTTAAGGGTCATGTACACAGCAGATTCATAAGTTTATTTTTCTCCCAAACAACATAATTAAACTTTTTTTAAAAGTCCGTGTTTCCAGATGCTAATTATATAGGTGTGTTTAGTTTATGAAAATGCATATGTGCAAGTTTCTGTACACTGTGCGTCAATAAAAAAGTACAGAGCAGGCATGACACATATATACTGAAGTAATAAAATGAGACACACCCAAACAAGGAAAATTTCCCTGAGCAAGTTTTGATGCAGGACTGAAAAACCCCTTGAAATAGTTCTGCAAAAGGCACTACTTGGACTCTGCAGATGCTACATGCCAACTGCCCACAAGCTACTGCTTCAACTATTTTAAAATATCAGCAAGCAGTAACAAACAGGTATAGGATAAAAGGGAAAGCATATATCTTCTTCAGGACACACTACAGGAGCAGAGAAATAAAAATACAAAATAAATGATGAAAGGCAGGAAATCCCTTTGTCAATAAGGCATCCCAGAGTAACACCTAAAATGCTTAAATGTCACACACAAAGAAGTTACACCTCGGCCAGGTGCGGTGGCTCACACCTGTAATCCCAGCACTTTGGGAGGCCAAGGTGGGCAGACCAATTGAGGTCAGGAGATCAAGACCATCCTGGTCAATATGGTGAAACCTTGTCTCTACTAAAAATACAAAAATTAGCTGGGTGTGGGGGTGCACGCCTGTAATCCCAGCTACTCGGGAGGCTGAGGCAGGAGAATAGCTCAAACTTGGGAGGCAGAGACTGCAGTAAGCTGAGATGGCGCCACTGCACTCCAACCTGGCAACAGAGCGAGACTCCATCTCAAAAATAAATAGATAGATAGATAGATAGATAGATAGATAGATAGATAGACAGACAGATAATTTGAAAAAAGAAAAGTTATACCTCAACACTACATACAAACTCAATTCTCAGATAAGCCACTTTCATTCTACACAATTATTTTGCAACAAATGTATCGTCTATTTTTACTAGCATTATCACAGGATGGAAATAATTACTACCAATGGAACAATAAGTGGACATAATGTATTCACCCACTTTAGAATTTATAAACATGATAAATTGGCCAATAACTTGAGAAGTTTAGAAGCATTTTCCTTCTGAAGTAGAATAAATTATAAAAAGTCACAGTTTTGCTTACCAGTGTCCACAAAAACGTTAATAGGAGAAAAACAATTTCAATAAAATACATACACACATGTACATCAAGAAACCTCCTGATGCATCCCTACCCCAAATCTAAAACCTAGACTTCATTCCCAAGTCCACCTTTGTATTATCCACCACATTCAAGGAAGCAGGTGAGCTCCTGATTTTACTCCTTGTTACTGACAGAATTATGTCCTCCCAAAATTCATATCTGAAGCCCTAACCTTTACTGTGACTGTATTTGGAGACAGGGCCTCCAAGGAGGTAATTAAGGTTAAATGAGGTCATCAGGATGGGACCTTGATAAGATAGCATTAGTTTCTTATAAGAGACACCAGAGAGTTTTCTCTCCTTCAGGTCCCAGAGCCTTCTATGTAAGGACATAGGGAAAAGGTGGCTATCTGTAAGCCAGGAAGAGGAACTCTAGGAAACTTATCAGCTGGCAAATGGATCTTGGACTTCTCAACCTCTAGAGCTGTGAGAAAATAAATGTATGTGGTTTAAGCTACATGGCCTGTGGTATTTTGTCATAGCAGCTGAGCTGACTAATACACTTACTCCATCCTCATTGCTTTTGTCATGGTTCCAAACCTCATGACATCTTTTGCCTGGAATATTGCAATGGTCCCTGAACAAATCTCTCAGCCCAGTCTCCATGCATCAGTCAACGAACTATCAAATACATAATTCAGTATGTAACTCCACATGCTCAACCAGATAAAGTCTATGCTGATATTGCTTATAGTGCCAAATCACATTTTTGTCTCTAGCAATAATAATAGCAGGTGCTATTGATATAAACAGCAATTATGTGTCAGACACCATGCTCATATTTCCTATGAGAGAGGAATTCCTCTATATCAACTACAAGCTCATATTCAATGCTTTCAAACATTCTACCAACATCCTTCATTCACTTTAGTCCATTCTTGTCAATTATTTCCCTGAGGCAACAAGCTGTTTAGCAGCTCCATGCCTTTTTGCATACACTCTATCTGCTTTCTTAAGCACCATTTAAAATTATAAATAGGCAGGTATTACCTCCTCTGTGAAGGCTTCTTATCAACCCCTCAAAAAAGAATGAATCATTCCTTCCTTAACATACATTTATAATTTCTATACTAGAGCTTTGCAAAGCACTTGGAACATGTTTAAGAGATGTGAGAGAGGCTGATAAAAATGGCAGAAGAGATTGACAAGCCCACTGTATTCGTTTTTTGGTATATATGTGTGTACTTTCATTTTAATACACAGCCCTTTCCTTTCTTTGGCAGATACATATATACTTCCTAGGTGGTCAAATCAAATAAAGATATACCAAAAGCTCTACCCAAAACCATCTCTCTCTATCACTCAACATGCTGAATATGGTTAATGAATCTGTTTCCTTTTCATGCTATGAAAAAGGCTCCCTCCCACAGCCCTAAAATCCTCTCTGCACGTTAATGTCAACTCTGTCTTCTAAATTGCCTGACATTTTAACTGTGTGAACACCCAAGAGTGTTCACAGATCCAGTTCTTTCCTTAGATGCTCTAGCCCCAAGCATATCACTAGATACACAGAGATAATCATGCCTAACTACAAAATTTCAGTATGTGAAAGCTCCTTAATATGAAATTGAGGCTCTCCATGTTTTGACCTCCAATTGCAGTCTATGGCATGTATGCCACACTCTAGATCAGTGACCCTCCAGGTACTGATCTGTGGATCTTCTGTACATCAACAACTGCTGTGGGTCCTAGGAGTCTACACTTGTTATATCCTCCAATTATAACTGGGATATGTGAAAAAAATGTGGTAAATTACAGTTCTAAGTTCTTGAGGCTTCCCAGACATGCTTTATACCAGCCCACCTGAGCCTAAGCTCATCACTATCCTCCTCTTGGATAAAATCCCCCACCTAACATCCTGCAGTAAGACTAAATTAAAATTCCACCTCCTCCACTTTCTAGCAGTGTAAATATAGGCCCGTGTCTATGTCAATGTCTCCATTTCCTTTCCCATAAAATGGAAATACTCCAGAGTATCAAGCATTGGTGAAGATTAAATGAGATAATCCATCATAAGTGACTCGTGCATAGTGCCTAGCATGTACTGATGCTTAGTAAACATTCACTTCATCACTGTAATTATTTTCACCACTATAGTCATTGTGTCCCCACAGTTAAATTTTCTGTTCTCTGAGGTCTAAAACACTTTCCTTCACAAGAGTTCTAGTGAATAAGAAATGCATTCTCTTCTCCGTATTCCTACACTATTTACTTCTTAGAGTGTTGTCCCAGTTCGTTCAGACTGATTTAACAAAATACGAATGCTCTTGGACTTACAATGAAGTTACATCCCAATAAAGCCATTGTATACTGCAAATATTATAAGCTGAAAACGTGCAGCTGAGAGGGAGCCAGGGCTTGCTGCCACTGCCCAGCATCACTAGAGAAGTGTGGTTTCTCCCAAATGCATATCACATTCACTCCATCACAAAGTCGAAAAATCCCAAGTCAAACCATAATAAGTTGGGGAACATCTGTACCTTAGACTGGATAATTAATAAACAACAAAAATGCATTACTTAGAGTTCTGGAGGATGGGAAGTCCAAGGTCAAGGCGCCTGCAGACATCACAGATAATGCCTTCTATATGTCCTCACGTGACAGAAGGGCAAGGGGCAAACAAACACCTCCCTCAGGCCTCTCTTCTGAGAAGACTAATTCCATTCAGGACAGCTCTGGCCTCATGACCTAATAACCTCCCCCATCCCCCACTCCTGATTTGTGTGTTGAAACCTGACTGCTCAAGGGAATGGTATTAAGAGGTGGGGCTTGGGGGACACATACATTCAGACCATAGCAAGTGTTTAACTATACTCTGCTGTTCCACAGATAGTGTAATATAAATGCTAAGACTCTGAATCCAGACAACTTGTGTTGAATTCCAATTCCTACA